TTTTGTCTGGAGGCTGATGACACTTTGCTGAGCTGAAATAACACCGTTATACTAAGGTTCATGATATCTGTAGCTCATTATATGACCGTTACATTGACCTACGCGGATCATTATTTTTATCACCCCTTTTTTCAGCCTGTCTCAGTTAAAACAACCTAATTTTTGTAATATTGTCCACAGAACAAGTTATGAGCAGCAGAGAGTTAGGTAAGTGTATTGCTGAATGGCACTATGACAGCAGCTGTTGTGATTGAGATAATTCACTTGGATAAATTTGTTCAGCCAGTTCGGGACATTCCTAAGTTGACAATCATGGTACGTTTCAGCTGTTGCACTAACTTGTGATTTACATGTCACTGTACTCCGGTGCTATTAACTAAATAAGACTGTAAGACTCACGTTGTGTCGAGTCAAGGAATTCTCTTTGCAGATGGTTAAGTTGACTTTCCTGGTGAGCGGCTTGTGAGTTAAACATCTTTGGCTGATGGGCAGGATGGTGAGGATTGTAGCTGGCCTTGTACTGATCCACAACTCTGACCCCCGGTCCGGTTTTTAAATCCTGAAGATCACAAAAAAACACATACACATATCACAACTAAACAAAATGAAATAAATAAATAAAAACTAAAAGTTGCACAACTAAAACTACAATCTTTTTCTCAAACAGACGATAAAGTTGTACAACATGCTGATAACTGGTGGACTGTCCATATAATATACATATTTTGGTAGTCTGCTAAATAGACCAAACATAAAACCCCTCTCACTTGAAATTGGTTTCTGGTGTTGTTATGGTCCCCGTAGCTTTGGTTGTCTCTGCATCCTCCTCCTCCATTATACACTACAGCATGATTTGTGCCTTGAGGGAATGGTTTGGACACATACTCGTCGGCTGAGAAATCATTGGTCTCCGTAGATTTTTCTGTGCCCGTGCTGGTGTAGGTATAATCTCCCTGAGCGTACTGAGGATCCTGTGACTGCTGGCTCCAGGTGTGAGGCAGATGTTGACTTTGAGGGTGACTCTGATGTCCATTAATCTGAGCAGCTCCATCCCCATAAGCGTACTCATCATGAGAGCGCTGATCATAGTCAGCTTCATAGTTCTTCAGAGAGACAAGGACAGTAAGGAGTGAGTGATTTTTTCCCCTTAAGATGTTCAGAAGACAAAAATCTATCAGTGAAAACACAACTCACCTGTTCATGAGAGGTTGGCCTTGGATGAGCTGACCACTGTGGAGTCCATGTGGATTGTGGGCTGAGTGGCAAAAAAGGATCATTATATTAAAATGGGATCAGAACATCTGATTGAACCACACCCCTCTGGGTGTCTCCAAATCTGAGATGACTAAAGCGTCAGCAGCAACATGTGTGTTACCTGTTGCCAGTGTTTTTATTGCTGCAGGTGGAGTACTCCAGCTCCGGGGAGGAGTCTCGGCTGTCCTCCAGCATGTCATCGGGCAGGTCTGTGAGCAGTTTCTGCAGCTGTGGGGGAAAAAAGCACATGGAAATGAGTCACCAAGGTTGCTCCGCAACCAAGTTATAAAGTAACACAGATAGAAAAAGAACAGCAGAGATAGTCAATCACTGACAGCCTGAGAGAAGAATGGGCACATGATCATTTTGTTCATGTATGTGTTATTTTTAAGCATGTATTAATGTATTAAACATAATATTAATTATTTGTGTTATTTATTAAGAAAAAATGTCCAAACATTCTCTGGTTTAAGCTTTTTAAAAGTGGGTTCAGTCATTCGGGAGAAAAACAGTAGACTGTTGACAGTTCATCAAATACCTTCTTTGGGTGATTTGAAAACAAACCAGCAAACGAGCCACAGAACACATCAAATGTGTTCTCATCAAACACAAAGCGTCTGTATTTGATGACCTATAAATGAGACTCAACAATCAGTGGTCTTTCTCCAGAATGACTGACCCCACTTTTACATGTGACAAGTTGCTGCTTTTAGGTTTTTACATTAATCAGTTAGTTGCAGCTCTAATGGAAATAAAACTATATTTGTATAAAATACACTCATTATTCTTTTGGTCAAGACAATCAAACACAAACTGTGAAACAAACAGACTTTTTTTTGTCGATACATCGTAAAAACAACCATGCAAATCCTCCGCTGTGTCAACAACAGATTGAGCAGACTTGCTTTAAAACCAGCCATGTGTGATGGAACAAGCAGAGCCAGCTGGACTTACTTCCCACAAGGACTGTTGAATATTCCTCAAATCCTCCACTGTGTCCACAACCGAAGGACCCATCGTCCCACTTACACATGTAACAAAGATTAAAGAGGCACTTCTGCTTCAGATGTGAAGCCACGTTATAACCTCCTAGCCTAATCTTTCTGCAGAGAAGACCTTCTGTGTGAAATATCCAAAACGTGTCTGGCATGTTGTTGGCTCTCTGCAGTATTGCTGCTTTTTGCTCCCAAAGAACTCCATTGTGTAGAGACAACATATAGCAACGTTAACTGGAGCAGAAACATCCCAGTTACTGGTAGCAAACATTTTCCAGTTGACCAACTTGCGTAGAATACAAAGAAAATAAAATCCATTATCAGGATAGATATTCTTCCAAAACCCAGTTCTTCTAAATGTTGCAGCCAACTGGAAAAACACTCACTGGCAGTTTCTTCACGCTCACTGTATTAAGTACAAATGTGTTCAAGCACAGGAACAAGGCAACCTCAAATAAGAGACAGCAGGGAAATCACTGGGCTGAGCTAGTTTCAGTGACACACCTGGAAGGAGGCTTTTTCCTTGGACCAATAATAGCTCAACAGATTGTAAACATGAGTAATAACAGCACAGCATTCCTGTCTAGCTGTGAAACAAGCAGTTCTTGTGATAGTCCAACAGTGCAAACCTCAAATGCTTCCCCAAGCAACAACACTAATTCAGAAAAACAAATCAGGCAAATGTATTGCTCAAAAAGAAGCATCGACATGTTTTTCTAAATACACCAATATGAGTATATAAGTAATGCTTAGAGCACTTTACATACTACAGTTATTGTTTCATTATGTCACACATGTCCTGGGTATCTTAGATCATCTGATATGTTGGATGTTTGAGAATATGTATAATCAAGAAACCAACAATCAGTCTACCATTAACACAATCAAACAACTAGACACAAACTGCAACACAGGTTATCCCAACAACTTCACAACACTGCAGTGATGTGTCTTATACCTCCTGCTCTCTTGCATAGTCTTCCTGATCGTACTCCTCTTCATCATGCTGGGTTTGAAGAGCAGCGCTGTCAAAATCAATAGACATGATGCAGAGCCTGCTGGAGCACGGAGAAAACAAACTAGAGTTAGAGGAAACAAACAAACAAACAAACAAACAAACAGTGAAAGTATTTGTTACTTAATGGTTAACGTTAACTTAGCTGACAAGTTACTGATTTTAACAGTTCAAAACACAAAATGAGCTCACCTGTTGGCATGAACGGGACGAAGGTTTCTTTTTGTGAGTTGCTTCTTCTTTCATTAGACGGTATTAAGCCCTAACCACATTACTGTTTTACAATACAAAGCAGGGACGATAGCTAACAAGAGGTAACCTGCCCATGTTAGCTTGCCTTAGCAGCAACGAGCTTGACCAAAAAAAAAAAAAAAAACCTTGCTATGCTTTGAAAAACATCCACCTCAAGTCGTGTGATCAAAGATGTAGATTCGTCAGGTAATTAAACAGTTTAAAGCCAGTTTGCGTGTATTTCAGGCCGAGCAGTGAACTCTGAGAGGTAACTTTAATGTAGTTTGCAGTTAACGTTACAGAGCTAACAGCCGGTTGAACGTCTCCTTTAAGAGCCGCAGTCTCGCCCACTTTGAAAACTCGCGCGCATTAGCAGCGCCAAACCGCAGCGCGCACACGGACTATATAACGAGTATTATTGAATCAACATAACGGATGTGAGTCACTAAGAGGCGCATATATTCGTTTAATGTCCACTTCTCTTATTAAAACACGCGTGGTGGGAGCTGTTCTACATAAACAATTAACGTTATTGTTCTTGCTGCCAAACCCCGGAACTCAAGCTAATCACGCCTCCATGGTAACAGCTTCTGTAGAATTTTGGGAAGTGTAGTTCCCGTGTTTCCTTGGAAACGAGCAAGCCTCTTCTTCTTCTTCTTCT